AATGAATGATTCGTGTTTGAACACAATGGATAAGTTTCTTCAATTAATGTCTTCATGTGGAGGTAAGCAAGTCAAACTTATCATATTCAAAGATATAAAATAAATAAACTGACTTGGAATTTTTCTTATCTGAATAAAGATGAATTGGAATATGCACGGAAAATTTCGGTCACTTGGACAGATAATTCATCTATTCCAGTAAAAAAGTACAGTTTGTTAACTGGAATTCGTCGAATTTACGTATAAATTTTACAAAATTTGAGATTAATTATTTTTAGAACATTTAATAAGATTTTTGGCAATGGATATTAACGGGAAATCTGGCGAAGCAATAAATTTTCAAGAAAATATACAGAAAAATTGTCAACAAGCAGCAAAGTATTAATGCCTTTATAAATTAATACACAATTGTTAGAATTGTTAGAAATCAATAAACTTATGAAATTATTTTATATTAGTATATACACTAAAGAGAGTGACGTATATTTTAAACGACGCAAAAAAGATGGCGTTTTCGGGACTACTGAAATCTACGATGCTAGGTAATTAAGAATTTTATGATCTTAAAAATGTTCCGACTTTTCTAATATTATATTTATATCAGCAAACTCAATAGTGCAATTGATGGTTGGTTAGCTGAAGCAAAGCAAAGATCTTACCATGTTGGCATTGAAAAAGTTGAATGCGACTTATCAGGAAGACCATCAGGTTTAATGGTATGTATATTTTCCTTATGGGCAATATTTAACGCCTTAACATAAAATTTGAATGTATTAAATGTTACTTAATGAACAGGTGTCAGTAAATAATTTATTAAAAGCTGGGATAATACTAAAATATAATGATATTAATGGATCATCAGTGTCTTTTGTTCGATTGACTATAATTGGATATCACGAAAAGGTATTTATAACGTAATTTAATTATATCATCATTTAATAGGCCATCAATATTAAATTGGCAATATATATATATTTGTATTTTATAGAAATCAATCCGAGAATTTTCAGATATTCTTGTATTCCAGCGTATAACGCAAATTGGACTTGAGTTATTTAATAATTTGGATCAAAGTGATCCTATGCCGAAATTGCTTGTAAGTAAAAAAAAAAAAAAAAAAAGATTAAAAAATTAAGAATTTGCTCTATATATTTAAAATTCAAAAAATGATTCTTTTTATTGAAAAGGATTGGATATCAAGTTTTCACGATCTATATACATCTCCATGTCACCATTGCAAAAAACTGTTATCTTTTGATTCACATGTATACAAGTATTTGCCACCCGTTCGTAGGGTTTTTATTGATGGAAAATTTTTACCCTTTCATTATCATTGCTATCGACAATAGTAAATGCTTAGTAAGTTGTATTCTATAGAAAACAAAACTTTTAAATCATTCTGATCTTTTAATTAAATGAATGTTGATGAAAATTTACATATAAGACTTTTAGGTTTTTAGGTGATAAAATAATCAAGACAATAAATGCAAGAATTAATTACAATATTTATAATGTAATTGGCAAGGACGTTTTCCTAAACATTTGATAGGACTATCTTTACAAAAAAAAATAATAATAATAAATAAACGTAAAGAAAACCTGTACTTAGGGTTTACTGTATATTAAGCTTGTATTTTACTGTATAACAATGTATAGAGGATTTTTTAAATCTATAATACATACCTACTAAACTTTCTTATATCCAAAAAATTTTAAATTTACATTGATGTTTAGATCAACATAATAAAAAATTTTAAAAAGTATTTTTTTTTTTATTGGAACCAAAATTGCCTATATATAGCGATAGTAATTCAGTAAAATTAGATATATCTGATATAGTATATTAAATCATTTGATCGATTGCTCGATTTTTATTGGTTGAATTTTACAGTACATTTTCAGTATTTGAAAATAAAAATTTTTTTTTTTTTTACAGAATTTATATAACAAATAAATTTTTACAATTTACAAAAAATTTTTCAGAAACAGCAATTTATACACAATTAACGCTATTTCACAAAATCAAGGTTCACACTTTCATGGATTACCTACATTTCAACATTTGACAATTTCGATTCCCAAATTAAAACACAATCATCTGTAATGTAGCAGGATATTGATATTCGTACGTAATACAAAAAGGAATCACAACAGTTTTTATCTATAAATCCTACAAATCAATGTCTCACAAATCCATAGATCACCCATCCACTGTTAATAGATACATTAATACATTTCCAACTTCCAAGTAAGACTGATACAACACTACATAACTACATTGTAATTTTCACAAACACGTTTTTCACGATAGTTTTTTTTTTGTTTTTTTGGCATTGCCAATAATTATTATCCATATCCATGACCATTTCACTCAATAAATAAAAACTCCTGCTAGATCCTTATGCCTCAACATAGAGCCGATTACCAAAAAATCGATAGAATCGGAGAAATCATTATATAGTAACCAACTACAAATGCTAACACACAAATATCTTCCCAAAGGCTATTCCAAATAAGGTTGTATCTCATTAACAACGTAAGTGCATCGGAAAATGGTGGTGGTAAGCTCGCTGCTATTGCACCTAGAGTTGTGCCTCCAAATGTTCGACCCTATATTTTAAATTTAAAAGCGAATTTATTAGTAAATTATATTCGAATGTAAATTCGAATGTTTAATCATACCTTTTGTATAAATAATCGAGAAGATTGAAGAATCAACTCAATAGTTATAAAATACCAAAATAGTGGCTAAAAAAAAAAAAAAAAAAAAAATTGGTTTAGAAGATACCCAATTACAATAAGAACAGATATTAAAAAAAAAACATAATTACCCAATTTGATACGCGATCAGTCTCAGAGATTTCATTCGGATTTCTATAAATCAACTTAGTAAATCGACTCCAACTACCATCTCGCCGAAGTACTTCAAACCAGGTTACGAGCAATCCCAACATAATCATTGCAAAAAAATGGATTAATTGCCATAATTTAGATTGAACATCTAACTGTTGTTGAACAGGAGGAGCAGGATTTATCAGATCAGGATTAAGAAATGGCAGAAATGGGAAGGGCTGTATATTCTGTTGCTGTTGTTGTTGTTGTTGTTGTTGGTAATAATTATTTATCTCGTCATATATCGTTAAATCTTCAGGTGAAATAGATGCTAACGAAACTGTACTACTATTCGCTGGATCAAGATTTGTTAATTTTCTCCTAGAAAGTTCATTGTTCACAAAAAATCCATCATTATCGTCATCTAAAGTTGAAGAAGAAACAGGAGGATTTTCATGATCTTTATGAAAAAGTTTATCGTCTAAAGTTGAAGAAGAAACGGGAGAATTTTCATGATCTTTATGAAATAGTTTATC